ATAAATAAGTCAAGCAGAGAGAGTCAATTATCATATGGTTTCACTTATTTGTGGAGCATAACAAATAACATGGAGGACATAGGGAGATGGAGAGAAGGGAGTTGAGGGAAATTGGAAGGGGGAGATGAACCATGAGAGACTAGAATCTGAAATACAATCTGAGGATTTTGAAGGGGCGGGGGGTGGAAGGTTGGGGGAGCCAGGTGTTGGGTATTAGGGAGGGCACATATGGCATGGAGCACTGGGTGTGGTGCATAAACAATGAATTCTGTTACGCTGAAAAGAAATTAAAAAAAAAAAAAAAACAGTATAAAAAAAAAAAAAAGCTTGACTTCTAGGGAAAAAACCCCATATTCCAAATAACTGAGCAAATCTTTATCGAGGTTTAAATTTAGATCTTAGGGGCACCTGGGTGGCTCAGTGGGTTAAAGCCTCTGCCTTCGGCTCGGTCATGACCCGGGGGCCCTGGGATCGAGCCCCGCGTCAGGCTCTCTGCTCGGCGGGGAGCCTGCTTTCTCCTCTCTCTCTGCCTGCCTCTCATCGCTCTGCCAAATAAATAAATAAAATCTTTAAAAAAAATAAATTTAGATCTTATTTGACAAGAACTTTAGAGCTCATTTTAGTTTAATCAAAAACTAAGGGCTACAGAGGATCAACTTATCTAAGGTAGTTAATTAAGTTGCAGAACCCAAGTCTCTTGACACCTGCTTCAGAATTCTTTCCATTGTACTAATTAATAGTGTAGCTATGCCAACTTTAAAAAAATGAAAGTACTGAACATGAGTAAATTCCAGAGGCACCTAGATTTACACTGTTGAGGGATTCTTTCAAGAATTGTAGGTAAATTATATTTTTGGAAGGAATACTGCATTTTTAAGGAAACATGGGAGCTTACTTACTGTAGTCTTTGATAGGCAAAGAATAGTTATTGCTTTGTATGTTTAAGGCAGCCAAAGAACTTTAAAGCTGATTTTTATAATGTTATAGTATAAATTATATTTCACTTAATACTTTACCTTTTAAGGTAGGGAATTCAATCACTGAGCACATTTTGTACGATTAGAAAGTTACTAAGTTCTATGAATGATTCTAAAGAAGTCCTAGATACAAAAAATGACAATCAGTGGATTTATATGTGTGTGGTACTAGGAAGCAATCCTCATTAAGAAATCAAGGCAATTTCAATTACCTTAATTTTCATTACTAGTATTTTTAAAGTGAACTGTATGCCCAATGTGGTGCTCAAACTCATGACCCTGAGACAGAGTCGCATTCTCTACTGACTGAACCAGCTAGGAACCCAACAATTTCAGTTACTTTAGATTCAAAGTGGAAAAGTCCTTTTGAGTTAGATAGCACTAGGTGAACTATGTTTCATGCATAGGCAGAAAGGGTAGCTGTCATTTGAGGATGCCCCAAGAGTCTTTTTTTAGTCCCCAAATCTCTTCCTTTAAGAGTTGTTTCCTCTTGGGGCACCTGGGTGGCTCAGATCATGATCCCAGGGTCCTGGGATCGAGCCCTGCATCGGGCTCTCTGCTCAGCAGGGAGCCTGCTTTCTCTCTCTCTCTCTGCCTGCCTCTCTGCCTACTTGTGATATCTGTCAAATAAATAAATAAAATCTTAAAAAAAAAAAAAAGTTGTTTCCTCTTTTGGGTGAACGGATTTATAAGAGACTTCCCTCTAGCTCCAGAAAGAGCCTCTAGTATCTGGAGTCTTAGGGAGTACTGACAGTGCTCAAGATTTGCTTTGCTTTTATTTAAGAAAGGCAAAGTCTGAAGGGTAGGTAGGGTTTAAATATGAAGGATAAGAATCTTCTGCTCTGGGATTCAGTCATGGTACCTACAGTAGGTTAGGATAATAAAGTTGCTGTCTGGAACTACATTTGCCCATCAGCCAACAGGTCCCAGGCTCACCTTCAGGTGCTAAAAGTCCACTCTCAACTAGCCATACATGGTATCCATGGGTTAGTCTGAGAGGTTACAGAACAGATGAGAAATTGGCATCGAGAATCAAGTTGGGTAGTGTTGGCAATAAAGTGGTCTATTATCAGATAGCAGGGTCCCAGTCAACAGACTTGGGTTTAACTCAAGGATCTAGACCCTCAGAGAAGGAGGTTTCAAGTAAAGAACCGGAAAGAAAGAGAGGTCTTGTATCTCAAGAGGATGATACCCTGAACAAATAACTTAAGGGCTCAGGTTCAGTAATCATGAGTCTCATTATCAAACTTGAGGTATCAGCCAGACAGACATAATGCCATAATATGGCATTATGTGTGCCTCTCAAATTAGGGTAGAATTAATTCTAGGATTAGTTGACAAAAAGTACCGCATGTAAGAGCAATTATGAATCTTTCTTGAGAATAATTTTCCTTGATGGCAACTTAATCCCTATTTTTACAGTTTTATATTAAAGTAAGCAGTCATATTTTGAAGTAGACAGCTAATTTTAGGTGAATCTAGAGAAGAAAATACAGGATTTCAAAGAAATGTCCAGACTTTAGTAGGGAGTTTTAGCTATGCTCCAAAGTCACTGTTTGATGCTCTTTATAAAGTTTGAAAGGCAAGGACCATAAAAAGTACCATCTATGGGAAAACACTGTTCTTTGTTTTGTTTTGTTTAGTAGGCTCTACCCAATGTGCGCCTTGAACTCACAGACCCTGAAATCAAGAATTATATGCTGTACTGACTGAGCCGGTCAGGGACCCCAACATTTTAAATTACATTCTGCTACTTCACGTGTGACCTTAGGCAAATTCAAAAATTACTTAATCCCACAGGATTGCTGTAAAGATTACTGAGAACATACAAGCATCCAGTAAGATAAAATGGGTGATTAATAATGTGACAAAACCTGGGCTAGAAATGCTTAATCTTGCTGCCTTAGATTAGGTCAGGTACCATAGACTGGAGGACTGTTAAGATGCCAGAGAACAAAAACCCAGACTAGAAGTGAATGTGTAAGTAAAGTTTAAACGGGACATGACTGGATATAGAAGAGAACTAATATACGTTGTGTGTCTTTTCCTATGACCTGTTAAGAATTTTAGATACATACTCATTTAATCCTATTAATAACCCTCAAAGAAGGCATAATTTTACAGATGTGAAAACTGAGGTACAGGAAGGCTCAAACTACCCAACGTTGAATAGCTAGCTACGCAGAGGAGCAAGTCCCCCAATGTAGTCATGCTGACACATTCTGCCTTAGTGAGGGGAGGTCCTTCTACTTTCCAAAATGGGAACTGGGTTTGAATAAGTGAGATTAAATATATACTAGCTACCTACATAGGAGAAACACAAAATATATGACACTGAGCTGGTGACCTGAGATATGTGATGTGATGCAGAGATTGTAGGGACAGCAAAGTCAGATCTCCTTCACAGAATTCTAAGGATAAATTGATAGGGGTTTCATATCTAATTATTTTCTTCAAGTACAGTAAAACCTCATTTGTCTACAGTATATGGAATTTACAATACTCTACATAGGAACTGAGAAACAACGAAAATATCTGATAACATTCTTCATACTTCCCTCCCCCAATAGCTGAGCTTAGATCAAAAAGATGTGATATTATTTAGTGACTTCTGCCTAATGACCTGAATTCTAGGTAAAAGAATAAATGAGCCAAAACGACAAAGGGTAACTAACATTCTCTACACATGCAGATATACAAATATAAACTACCATATCCTATTCCATTTTTTGTTGATTCACCAAAATTTTCTCCTTTACTGGGAATTTTACTTTAATAAGGCCTTTTGCTAGGCAATGGACACACAGAGCTAAGTAAGACCTTGTAAGAGCTTAGTCCATTTAACACTGGCAATCATGAGGCCACCAAGAGTTCACAGCTGGGACACGCACAAAAAATAGGGCCAAAACAGAAAGACATAGAGAATCAAAGTACCAATGATAAATTAGGTCAAACTATTCAAAAGCAAATAGGAGTTTGTCAGGAAGCAAAGGGAAGGAATATTTTTTTGAGACCTGAAAGCATGAAACAGTGTGATGTGTTCATGGAATGGCAAGGCATTCCATGTGATTGGAGAGCTGGGGGTTTAGCAGGATTCATAGTGATTAGATCCTAAAGAGATACATTATGCTAAGACATATACATTAAGTCTTGTGGATCAACATTTCCCACAGTTAAGACCATGGATTCTTTGAAATCACAATGTGAAGAAGAAATACCAATAATAATACATACTTAAAACTTCTGATTCTTTAGCTTGAAATCTAAGAAGTATAAAAAATATGAACCATTTTATTTAAAACCCCGAAATAGCAGAGATGAAATCATCTTTTATTTTCATCTTATATTTGGTTATCAAGAGACATGCAAAACCCTCTTAATTTTAATGAGAACAGTGTTTTTGTGTCTTTTTATCACATATCCGCTTAATATTAGGTGTAATGTTGCTAAGTCGAATCCGCATATGAGGTGCAGCATCAAGTCTTTTCCTGTATTTCGTTTTTGTTGCGGCATAATATGAAAATCCTGTTTCACACAGGTGCATTGTAGCAAAAGGAAGAAGTACACGAACTGCACGCCTCGCAATGCTTGGGTACTCTTGAATTAGGCTACTCCAAAAATCATTTAGTGAAAGTTCACTGAAATTTTGTTTCACTTGAGAATCAGATGTTAAATCAATCAGGCTCTCATAGTCCCGTGCTACTAATGAGACTGGTTTAACAGTTACTGTAAATGGATTTCTAACCCAAGTGTTATTGTCATTTGTTACAGGAAAATATTTTAACAGAGTAGAGCGCAAACCCCTTAGGTGCTGCACAATGGCACTACAAATATCTTTATCAACTGTAGAATTAATTTCAGTCAAAAAGTCACTGAGTGTAGGAAAACAATCAAAATTTTCTTCTTCTACAGATGAAGCCCAAAACTCTAATTTTCTTAACAATGATGACATTTTATCAAAAACTGTAAAAACTGTTACATTTTTTCCTTGCATTGATAGATTAACCTCATTTAATTTAGTAAAAATATCTGCAAGATATGCAAGTCTTAGCAGCCAAGATGAATTTGTTAAACAATCAGAGAGTCGAAAAGCAGAATCCATGAAAACCAATAGTTCACGACGAAGCTCAAAAAGTCTTACGAGAACTTTACCTCGGGAAAGCCACCTCACCTCTGTATTCAGAAGAAGCGCTGTGTGCTGGGCACCCATTTCCTCACATAAAATTTTTAGTAGCCTGGATTGATGTGGTCGAGCTTTAATGTAATTGATGATTTGTACTGCCTGATCTAGCACATTTTTCAGAGATGTAGGCATTATTTTAACCGCTAGTGCATGTCTATATAATAGGCAGTGACTACTGGTGCTTTCGGGAGCCACATATTTTATCAAGGTGACAGCCTCAGCAATTTTCCCGTCCATTGCCCTAGAAGCATCGCTACAAACATCAACACATTTTTCCCATTCTATTTTATGTTTCTGCATAAAACTGTTGATGCAGTTGAAAATTTCTTCACCAGTAGCATTACTTTGCAAAGATTCACATAAGAGTAGGTCTTCCTCAATAGATTTATTAAACCTATAACGAACAAACACAAGCAGCACAGCCAGTCCTGAAACATCAGCTGATTCATCTAGCTGCAGTGAAAACCCATCACAAATTTTCAGTCTACAAACAAGCTCTTCTTCAATGTCAGCAGCAAGATCCTTAATTCGACGTGCAACAGTACTATTTGATAGTTGTACTGCATCTATTTTTTTACTGTATTGTTCATCAAACATTCGCATCACAACATCTTTTGCACAAGGCTTGATAAGCAATTCTCCAATAGTATGAGCCTCTCCACTCAGGGCTATATGGTAACTTACATTGTATGATGCCTCTGTAGCACTTTCATTATCTGTATTGACAATTTTAGGTGTTGGAGGTTTGTTATTTTCAGGTGAATCAAGATGTTGCTTGAAAAAGCTTATGTCTTTGTCTTTGTAGGCAGCATGTTTAGTTTCCAAATGTCTTCGAAGTTTACTAGGGGCCAAAGAACTATTTGATAAAATTTTCTTACATAACACACACTGAGCATGAGGTGCATCTCTATTTCCAAAGTAAGTAAATCCAAAAGACAAGTAACTTTCATCATATTTTCTTCTTTTTGGTTTCTTACTAAATGTTGTTATTTTGTTGGAATTGGACATAAATTTGACCCTGGAAAGCTCACCTTCTGATTTTTTAGAAACTGAAGGCTGCAACTGTTCATCCTCCCTTTGTAATATTCCAACCTTTTGATCATTTGATTCAGACACAATTTGGTAACAGAAAGATTCTACTTCTTGTTTAAGACTTCCTTGTTTCAACAACAGATCCATAGGCAAAGTGTTTGTGGTACAAAACATGGTTAATTTAGAATAAACATCGAGTATCACAAATGTGTTGAAATTATACAACAGGATACACAGAAGATGAGCAATCATCAAAGAGATGATACAGAGCAACACATCAGTTAATTTGTAAATGCTGCCTATGCATCAATGCGCAGATGGAACATCACACGTTCGTGTATCAGGTGATTTCTCATGCGACTTCCTGGTGCTCTCAGGTATGGCACACCTTTTCTTAAACGTAGATTATCACATAAAAATAAAGCTATAGAAATGAGTTTAGTAGTCTTAAACTTATATTTGAAAATAAACTATAAAGAAAACGATTGTTAGTATTGATCTTTTTCTCAGAACACTTATTAAAGTAGAGAGTATTAATGTTCTATAAAACACATCTTGGGAATCACTGGGCTAAGAAATAATGAAGAGTTGGTTAAGTATATTTTTAACGAAGGGACCTTGAGGAATATGTCCCACGGCAGGGGTTGGCAAACTTTTTCTGTAAAGAGCAATACAGTAAATATTTTTGACTTTATGGGCCATATCGTCTTTGTTGCAACTATTCAACCTTGTAGTTGCAGCATGGTAGCAGACATAGATAATACAAAAAGAATGGACACACCTGTGGTCCAGTAAATCTCTATCTACAAAAACAGACAGCATGGGCCATAATTTACCAACCCCTTCTCATGGCATATAGTTTTTAGCTTCCAGATATTTACTGCCACTAGATACATTCACTATTGATACTATTATACATCTGAAGCCTCCTACCAGGACTAGTGACTATTTTGATAAACTATATTAAAGACATACAAACACAGTTCAAAGTTTTGCAAGACACCGAATTCTATATCCTAAATACTGTGCTAACACTGAAAAATACAATGTAGACCAAAAGTTAGCTACTAATTCTCTGGAATTAAAATCACATAAATATTTATATCATTCAAATTAAGACCCATTGAAAGTAATGTATATTTTACTGATTATTCTATTATAGTACATTCTGTTATACTATAGGTGAAGACTTTACCAGGACCTAAAAAAAAAAACCTCTTATTTTAATAGGTTTATTCCTCATATAGTTTTTAAAATCATAATTAAAAGAAGGGTAATGCAAATTTTAAATCCTTTAAAGAAGACTAGTAACTTTGCAAGCTAAGGCATACATATTTAGTGTATATCCAAATATATCTGCTTTTGATTCATATTTTATGATTTGGCTACAGAGTAAGCTTTGAATTTTCATGTCACATCCTACAGCAAATGGTTTTCCTATTAATAGCTAGATGGTAAGATACCTGAAATGAGGAGTACTCCCTTCTGCAATCACTCTCCACCTTGGCAGCTTGACATGCAGACTCTTCAAAAGAATAAAATTAAGGGATGGGGTGGAAAGGGAGTAACCGAAAGCCTAGAATGAGAAAAATTAAAATTAGACACTGTAAAAGCAGAACTAACTATAAACCCCTAAGATGATCCTTCATTACAATTTATTTTAGATCCAGGCAGTGCAAATGATTCTTCACTGCAATGCAGTGGACTGAAACAGAAGATGCCTAGCACAGTAAAAATGCTAATATTTTCATCTCACTTAATACTCTTGTTCTATCATCGTTTTGAGACACTCTCCCAACCACGGACTTCATAGAAACACGTAACACTTTCAAAAACTAAACCTAACTTTTAAAAGTGGCCACATTTTAATGTCTCTAAAACCAAGCATTGAAAGTAATCTAAAATAGAGTTATACCGGGAAGTGTTGTATGAAGTATGCATTTTTGCTGTAACCATTTTTGTCCCCTCAACCAATTTCCTGTTAGGTTACTATTGTTTATAGAATGATCGTTGTTTACTATGCTTGTAACTGCTAGATCCCTCATACAGATTATCTCATTTAATCCTTAAACTCCAGAGTCAGGGCCTAGTATTGACCGAATTTAAGAGATGAACTAATAGACTGAGAAGTCATCTGCTAACTTAATACATCTTGTAAGAGAAAAACTAAGAACAGAACCCAAAAAGTTGGCGCTGCAGAGCCCACGCACCTAGCCATTCCTTGTGTGTGCCTGAATACTCTAAAATTTCCCAAGCACTAACGGGTGGCAGAGAGAAACGGATTACAACTGCCAGACAGTCGAGGGTTTCAAACTGCAGCAGCAGAAAGCCCTACTCCATTACTGGGAGTAAAAGAGCAGTAGATTCTCATTTCCACAATCCCGATTTTAATTTAGCAACAGAGAACTTCGTGGAGCTGCTGGTTGGGGTTAGAAGCCCTCTCCCTGGCTACCCGAGGAGGACAGAATGGAGTAAGAAGCTTTGTTTTCCTCACGGAAGGACTCATCCCCACCTCTTCTAGAGGTGCTTTCCCCGAATCTCTCGAGGACAAAGAGTCTAGACTCCCTCGAGAGTCAAGTTTCTATTCCATTACCCGAAAAGGCTGGCAGGGGATGGGGGGTGGGGAGAAACCCTGTTCTTTTGTCTCTCCTCTGGGTTAAACTGACAGGTAACACCATCCCTTCACCCCCACCTTCGGGCTGTTCCAGCTGTGAACACCACCCTCAGGGACAGGAGGGCCGGGTTAAGAGTGCAGTCCAGTCAGAAAGCCCAGGCAAAGGTGGGGGCGGTTGCCCTTTCCAGCACCTACATGCTTCTTTAAACGGTCACTTCGATGTGCTGCCTGGGCCAGCTACGCCTCCTTGTCACAGGTGCGCGCTACCAGCAGATCCGCCACATCTGGGGGCTCGCCCACCCTCGCCTCCAAAACTCTTCTCTCGCGTCCCCGGGCGGTTTCCTCAGCACCCAACACTATCTCTCTACGTCACCTCCATCAGTGATGGAGACCGGTCTTCGCTGCGGCTGGGCTGCTGGGCAGCGCCGCGGTCCCCAACTGAGTCTGCGGCCGCCATTTTAAACAGCTCAAGGCAGCGGCCATTTCAGAGCGCACCGCTCAGCCGCCGTGGCGGCTCTGGTCCTCACCTTCACCGAGGCCTGAACGGGGTCAAGAGCCAGTCGTCGCGGACTGGAAGGGGAGAGGGAGGGAGGGGGGAATGAAAAACAAAACAGAGGGAGGAAGGATTCGGGGACAGGGTGATGCTCTCAGCTCAGGGATACCGCCTATGCCACCTCCATAGAGATCCGGTTCGCGGCTGGCGCGGTCGCTCCTCTGAAGATAAATTTAGCACTCTGGAGCAGACGAACTTACAGTCTCCACCAGCGGCTCCTCTGCCGCCCAATCAGCTCCAGAGCTGCTCTCCGCCACCAATCCACGCGGAGCAGTGGGGGCGGGACCAAAGGAAAGGACCAAGCTCGGTTGATGCGCGCCCGGCGGCCGCAGTGGTGGTGGATTCGGGCGTGCGGGGAGTCTCAGCTGGTGCAGGATGAAGCGATTGTTTTCAAACTTCCCTGGGTTCCTTGTAGCCCGGTTGCTTGTTTAGAATACAGGTTCCCGGGTACTGCCAGACAGAGTTAGTTGTCCGGTGAGGCTGGACTGGCCTCCAGGAATCTGCATGCTTGTAGCACTGGCGTTCTGCCCGGGCGGCGGTGATTTGTGTGATTCGCAGTTACCCTTAAGGAGCGCGCAGAGCCGCGACTGCGGCTGCTTTCACGACCTCTTTGTTTTCCGAGCCGCACCCCAGGCTCAGGTTTCGCAGCCGCCCCCTCTCTCCCTGGTTTTCCTTCTGGAGTGGGGCAGGAGACGCCTTCTCCTTTCCCCGTCCCTCCCGACGCTGCTGTGTAGGGGGCCCTCAGGCGAGCTGAGCCTCGCGCGGGAGCTCTCGGGTGACCCCGGATACGATCGGGGCCGCCGTGTAGGAGTGTGTAGGGATAGCGGCGTCTCCGCTGTGTCCTACGGCGGGTCTGCTTGGCACCCTCCGGGAGGGGGGGCTTAGACCGCCTGCACGCGCCGGCCAGCCGGCAGGACTACACCGTCTGCTCTCTGTCGCATTCGGGCGCTTTAAGCCTGCTGCTCTCCCACGCCTCTCCGCTGTTAGGAAAAACAGCATAGCAGAGGTTGCGGGCTGTGTTATTTTTCCCTTGGCGATCTGCCGTGGAGACCAGGAGCTGGGTTTTCCAAATTGGCCCCTTAAAATATATATGCGTCTAGGGGTAATTTAAGTACGAGTAGCATTGAACAGTAGGTCCCACTGTAATATTTTTGCCTTTGTCGGCCCCTGAAAATATCTAAGTGAATATTGGGTCATGTTTTCAGGCACTGCACTCAAAGACAAAATCACCGGCTTGTGGTCAAAAGTAAGGGCAGCTTCTGTTTTTCTTAAACACGCTTCTTCCAAATGTGAACAAATCTCTTAGGTGTAGGAAGAAGCTTGCCCCTTAAAATTTTCAGGAGGACGGTATAGATTATCTCCCTGGACGATAATAGAAGACAGCATTTGGTCCTAAATATTTTAAAGCCAGTTCAACGTCTTCAGATTTTAACCTATAATAAGCTATTATTAGTTTATTTTATTATTTAAAAAAATTATTTCTGTGAAATCAAAGTTTCAAGTTTGAACTTAATGGTCAAAGGTAGGATGGGAATCAGGGACACCTCGGTGGCTCAGTCGGTAAGTGGCTTTCTTTGGCTCAGGTCATGATCCCAGGGTCTTGGGATCGATTCTTGTATTGGGCTCCCTGCTCTCTGCCTGCCGCTCTGCCTACTTGTGCTTTCTCTCTCAAATAAAAAAATAAGATCTTTAAAAAAATAAGATCTTTAAAAAAAAAAAGGTGGGAATCATTTTTGGGAAGGGCGATACAGGTCTATTTGAAGAGCAAAGAGTTTCCTTTTGTCATTGCAGGAGTTGTCTAACTCGATAATAACATTGGAAGAGTATCCCATAATTTCATATGTTTTATATTTCAGAATAAACTTTTACATATAAGTTCTCCATTTAATCTTCACATCTGATTTCCATCTTCAAGAACTGAGAAAATCTAAAACATTCAGTTGATGGGGAAAATAGCGCTTAAACAAGTTCAACTAAAGTCTAGGACTTAACCTATGTCTTAAACATCTGAAGAGTCTGATAATTAAGGACTTGAAACAAAAGAGTTTTTTTCTGTAATTGCTTAGTCAATAAATTATCATGTAATGTGGGTCAATGAGTCAGGTTAGAATATATATAAACAATGTAGTACTCAGACCAATAATGATAATTGCTAACATTTACTGAGTACATAGTACAAGCCAGGGGCTGTTCTACACACTTTTTAAGGTTAATTAACTCATTTACTCTTCACACACAACAACCCTATCAGATGATTGTTCCTATTTTACAGATAAGGAAATTGAGCAGATTGATAATAACTTGCTCAAGTTCCCAAATCTAATTGGTACCAGAGCTTAGGTTATGTGCGATGCTGGTTGCAGGAACCATAACCCTGTGGGTCTAGATGGTGTGTGTGCACATGCACTTGCAAACTCGCATTAGGAAACAATTGTGAATAAGACTATAGAAAAATATGGGGTAAGTAGGTAGAGCCTTATTGTTGAAAAGGAACTCCGTTTGTTGCATGGGGCTCAAGTAAAATAATCACTGGAAGCAGTGGCAAGAATTTCAACTGATACCCCAAATTTGCAGCTCCTGTTGCTATAAGAGGTCTGAGATAGCAATTCTATTTGTTTTGGTTGCATGAGTTAATTTGCTTTGCAGTTAGATTTACCAGAAGCGTGTGATGAGACAGGAAGCTCTGGAGCCAGTAATGTAGGTCAGAGTGTCCCACCCCCTGCCCATCATACTCTTCCATCCTTCAGTATATGTGGGCTGCCCTGGCGGGGGAAGATGGCAGCCAAGGCAGGCCTGAGTGAGCTGACAGCTGGGGCCCATCTGCTGATCTTAAACTTGCTCCTGAGCAGGGCAGCAAGTCCTTCTTAAAAAAGGATCTCAGTAGTACATCTCCATGTCTGGCACTGTGTATAACCTTTATTATAAAGGTGGTAAATTAGTACAGTTTTCATTATTTTTGTGAAAGTTATCATTATTGTGATGTGTATTTTGTCAGCTTTTAAGATGTATGAAACACTTAAGAGAATTTAATGACCATATGTAAGAGATTGATTTATTGGTATTATATTTACAAGAGTTACATGGGTGCTTATAAAGATTTCACCAGCTAGCTATTAGATACATATATGTGTGTGTGCATATATATATACATATATATTCATCTATTTATAAATCTCTATAAAATCATATAAATAAATATGTATATATATATTTGTATATATATTTTGTGTATATATATATTTGTATATATATTTTGTATATATATATATATATTTTTTTTTAAAGATTTTATTTGTTTTTTTGATAGACACAGCAAGAGCGGGAACATAAGCAGGGGGAGTGGGAGAAGGAGAAGCAGGGTTTCTGACAAGTAGGGAGTCCAGTGCAGGCCTCCATCCCAGGATTCTGGGATCATGACCTGAGCCAAAGACGATGCTTAACGACTGAGCCACCCAGGAGCCCCTAATGGATATATTTCTAATTGTAGTTTAAAATTGCTAAGAAAACTTGACTACTTGAGCATGCAAATTATGTTAAATATTTAGGAAGCATTTAGTCTGTTAAGCCTATGAATTAATTAAATCATAGAGAATAAGTGAAAGTGATTGTCCATATTTTTAGGCTAAGATGAGGAGATTTATAAATAGATGAACAACATTTATAAATTGAGCTTAAAGGCTTAAATGAGTTTACAATTTATTTATGTTTTTATGAGTTTACAATTTTAATATATTTTGCCTATTAATAAACAAATCATGCCAATTATCAATGTTTATTGTAGCTTTTATTCTCTCCTAGGACTTTCACTATTCCTTCTATATTCAATGATTCATAAAATATAACACTTACATAACTGACTTCCCACTTGATCTTCAGTTCCTGATTTTCAAGTCTGTAGACTTTTTCTTTGAATATATACCAACAGCTCAGATTAAGCATATTTATTATTTTTTTAAGATTTTATTTATTTGACAGAGAGAGATCACAAGTAGGCAGAGAGGCAGGCAAAGAGGGAGGGAGGAGGAAGTAGGCTCCCCGCTGAGCAGAAAGCCAGATTCGGGGCTTGATCCCAGGACTCTGAGATCATGACCTGAGCTGAAGGCAGAGGCTTAACCCACTGAGCCACCCAGGCGCCCCTAAGCATATTTAAAACTTTAGTAATTCTCTCTAATACTTGTACCTTCCCAATGACCTCATTTATGTTAAAGATTTTATTATTCTTATAATATTACAAGCAAACTTGGAGTCAATAGTAGCCACTCTTGACTCACCTTCATACTCTATATATACAGACATCAAATTGTTACTTTCTGTGTAAGCCTGACGATTCACAGACCTGTACCCCTGGGGCTAATAATACATTATATGTTAATAAAAAAATTGTTACTTTCTTTGAATGTTGCTTAGGTGCATTCCCTTCCCTCCATTGCTCTTGCATGTTCTCTACACCAAGCTCCAGAAATGTTCCTTCTAAATTATTACTACAGTCTTGCTGGCTTCCAGTCTCTTTCCATTTAATTGGTTTTGTATACCAATATTCTATATTTTAGTATCTTCAGTGACTCACTAATTCTCTTCTATGATGGTATAGAAACATAAAACTTTAGAGCTGAAGAAAATCTTTTTTTTTTTTTAATTTCTTTTCAGCATAACAGAATTTATTGTTTTTGCACCACACCCAATGCTCCATGCAATACGTGCCCTCCATAGTACCCACCATCTGGCTCCCCCAACCTCCCACCCACCACCCCTTCAAAACCCTCAGGTTGTTTTTCAGAGTCCATAGTCTCTCATGGTTCACCTCCCCTTCCAATTTCCCTCAACTCCCTTCTCCTCTCCATCTCCCCTTGTCCCCCATGCTATTTGTTATGCTCCACAAATAAGTGAAACCATACGATAATTGACTCTCTCTGCTTGACTTATTTCACTCAGCATAATCTCTTCCAGTCCCGTCCATGTTGCTACAAAAGTTGGGTATTCATCCTTTCTGATGGAGGCATAGTACTCCATAGTGTATATGGACCACATCTTCCTTATCCATTCGTCCGTTGAAGGGCATCTTGGTTCTTTCCACAGTTTGGCAACTGTGGCCATTGCTGCTATAAACATTGGGGTACAGATGGCCCTTCTTTTCACT